GCATATTCAAAGTCAAATAAGTTGTAAAAGAAAATGGGACAGCATTCATCTCCATGGGTGAACATTCCACATTCCCATGGCAGGAACTAGTTTGTTCGAAGGACAATCGCCACTTGCTCACCATAATGATGTGGCATTGATCTCCACGGGGACGATTGGCCGAGTGATCGTGAACATATGACCTCTGTTCAGGTTGCGAGTCAAACGCTTAGCACAGCAGCGCCCGGCCAGGCTGCAGCACACAGCACACATTCACCAACGGAGGCCTCGCGTGGCAAATGCTGCCCATGCCGCTACACCGCTATGCAGGTGCCAGCGTACACAGTGCTCGCCCGACGTGTGCAGCGTAGCAAATACGCGGGCGCAGGAATTCACCTCCGGAAAAAAAGTCAAAGCGGGTGGAAATTCCACATTTTCCACAGAAGGGTCAAGAAGCGTCGCGCAAGGTAAGAGCTCGCCGCTACCCAATGGTGCGAGGATGGTCTCGCCCGTGAGGAGGCACCTGATCATTGACGCTGCCAACCACGGCCTGTCCCGACGCAGGACGAAGACCTGCGCCCCCGTGCCACTCAAGACAGCGACATCCGACGAGCTCGCAAAAAGCGACAATCTGGTGAGTGCAGGCCCACATACTTTCAACATTCTGTCTCCTCGGTTGACGTCACTCCCTCTCCCTCCCCCCCCTTCCCCCTCTGGGGGCGACGAGTTCCCTTCCTTTGGCCACCACCGCCGGCGTGAGTCTGGACCACGGCCACTGGTGGTGCCCACTCCCCAAGGGGACGGGCACTGACGGCGACCGCCAGAGCCCTGCCGCTGCTCCCAACACACGGTCCATGCAGGCAGCGTGCGGGCATGTGAGGGCACGGTGCGAGAGTCGAGGATGAGAGAGTTGGGGATGAGAGAGTCTGGGAGGAGAGAGTCAGGGAGGAAAAAGTCAGGGAGGAGAGGCAGGGATGGGAGGGTCAGGGATTGGAGAGTCAGGGAGAAGAGAGCCAGGGAGGAGAGAGTCATGAGCAGAGTCAGGGATTAGAGAGCCAGAGAGGACATGGTCATGGAGGAGAGAGTCATGGAGCAGTCAAGGATTGGAGAGCCAGGGAGGAGAGGGTCATGGAGGAGAGTCTGTGAGAGTCAAAGCTGTAACAATGAGTGCAAAGCGGAAATTGCTCTGCGTGTTCCTCCCTGTGGCCTCCACACGGAGCCTGTGTCCACGCATCACCATTTAGAAATAAGGCACCGCGTCACAACGCATGAATACACATGGAACAGGGGATTCACGTAAATACAAGCGTGTTCCCATGTGTCAATGTGTGGTGCTGGCCATCCACCCCTCGTGTGCCGTGCTGGCCTTCATAGATCGTCGCTAAAAGCATTTGTCCCAAAAGTCTGTTATGTCAGTGTGTGCATCAGTGTGTCAATGTGTCAGCGTGTGCACCGGTGTGTCAATGTGTCAGCGTGTGCACCGGTGTGTCAATGTGTCAATGTGTCAGGGTGTGTATCAGTGTGTCAATGTGTCAGCGTGTGCACCGGTGTGTCAATGTGTCAGCGTGTGCATCAGTGTGTCAATGTGTCAGCATGTGCACCGGTGTGTCAATGTGTCAGCGTGTGCATCGGTGTGTCAATGTGTCAGAATGTCCATCGGTGTGTCAATGTGTCAGTGTGTGCACCAGGTGTGTCAATGTGTCAGCATGTGCATTGGTGTGTCAATGTGTCAGCGAAGTGGCTAGCGTCACACCGTTGTGCCTTCGAGTGCCACACACACAGTGGGATGTGGTGTGTAGCAACCCTGCCACCTAGATTCGATTCCCGACCCCAGATAACTGCAGTGAAAACAGAAACCAACATATTGGTCTTGCGCTTCCCCTAGATCGACCCAGCCTCAGATGAATATTTGGTGCGATTGTAAACATCACTACTGGGGAGACAAAGGCGGATGGGCGTGATGCTAGCCACACCACCCCCTCATTGATGAGCCGTTCAGACCTCCATTGGTGCTACTCGTTTTAGTACGATTAGCAAGGTTGGCTACGTAGAGTGCGAAAGAGGTTCAACATACATACAACAGCACTTGCTCCCACAACCTATAAGACACCTTACGATGAACCTTTGTCTTTATCCCAGATAATGACCCAGTCCCAGTATGTTAGTGTTCGTGTGTGTATCAAATTGTGTTGCAGTTTATGCAAGTGTGTTACTATTTGTATTTGTCCGTGTGTGTGTGTGTGTGTTTCGGAATGTGTGTCAGTGTCGGTGTGTGTCAGTGTCGGTGTGCGTGTGTCATTGTGTGTGTCAGGATGTGTGTGTGTCAAGGTGTGTGTGTCAGCGTGTGTGTGTGTCAGGGTGTTTGTGTGTCAGAGTGTGTGTGTCAGTGTGTGTGTCAGGGTGTGTTTGCCGGTGTGCGTGTTGTCAGTGTGTGTGTCAGTGTGTGTGTCAGGGTGTGTGTGTGTCAGGGTGTGTGTGTGTCAGGGTGTGTGCCGGTGTGCGTGTGTCAGTGTGTGTGTCAGTGTGTGTGTCAGGGTGTGTGCCAGGGTGTGTGTGTCAGTGTCGGTGTGTGTCATTGTCAGTGTGTGTCAAAATTTACATCTTAGTGCGAGTGCCACTCTATCACTGTTTAAGGTGTTTGTAGCACAGTGCGTTAGTATGCCTGTGTGTGCGTGTCCTGGGCCTCCCCTAGGTCGACTCAGCCTCAAATGAGTACCTGGTTCAATATGTAAACATCGCCAGCCGGCCTTCATAGATGCTCGCAATCAGCACTAGCCCCAAGAGCCTGTTACGGCTGTACAGGGGATCTTTATATTTATATAGGGTGTGCGTGTAATCTACAGGTTATACGAGTGTCTTTGTGTGTGCAATCTACAGTGCGTGTAGGTGTCTGTATGTAATCTAGTGTGTGTAGGCGTGTCTGTGTGTGTGTGTAATCCAGTGTATGTAGGTGTGTCTGTGTGTTATCTACAGTGTGTGTAGGTGTGTCTGTGTGTGTGTAGGCGTGTCTGTGTGTGTCTGTAGGTGTGTCTGTGTGTTATCTACAGTGTGTATAGGTGTGTCTGTGTGTAGGTGTCTGTGTGTTATCTACAGTGTGTGTAGGTGTGTCTGTGTGTGTGTGTAGGCGTGTCTGTGTGTGTGTGTAATCCAGTGTATGTAGGTGTGTCTGTGTGTTATCTACAGTGTGTGTAGGTGTGTCTGTGTGTGTGTAGGCGTGTCTGTGTGTGTGTGTAGACGTGTCTGTGTGTGTGTAATCCAGTGTATGTAGGTGTGTCTGTGTGTTATCTACAGTGTGTGTAGGTGTATCTGTGTGTGTATAGGTGTCTGTGTGTTATCTACAGTGTGTGTAGGTGTGTCAATGTGTGCGTGTGTGTAATCTACAGTGTATGAGTGTGTACGTGTGTTAGTGTGTGCGTGTGTGATGTGTGTACACAAAGACACTGGATACGCTTATTGCCACGTGTGAGTGACGTACACGGGGTGTAAGGATAGTGCGTGATGCGTGTGTTTGTGTGCTGTCACGTAGCCTGTGTGTGGGGGTTATAAGTGTGTGTGTGTGTGTGCAAGGGTGTGTGTGTGTAAGTATGTGTGTGTAAGTGTGTGTGTGTATAAGTGTGTGTGTGTAAGGGTGTGTGTATGTAAGGGTGTGTGTATGTAAGGGTGTGTGTATGTAAGTGTGTGTGTAAGTGTGTGTGTGTGTGCAAGGGTGTGTTGGTTTTGGGAGCGGTTGTGCAGCGTTTTGGCATGGCCAGTGCACCGCACTATGACCCAGTGACGATTATTTGAAGCGGTCCTGGGCATCCCGGAGGTCGACTCAGGCTCAAATGTGTACCCGGTGCGGTGTGTAGTAAACATCGCCACTAGGGAGACAAAGGCGGCCGGGCGTGGTGTTGATCACTCACCCCTTCGTGTGCCGTTCCGGCCTCCATAGCTGCTGCTCGCTAACAGCGCTTGCTCCAAGTCTGTTCAGGCTACACGGGGGATCTGTGTAGCACTCGTTTACACACACACACTAGCGTGTGTGTGTGTAAACGAGTGTGTACACTAGTGTGTGTGTGTACACGTGTGTGTGTACATTAGTGTGTGTGTACACTAGTGTGTGTGTGTGTAAACGAGTGTGTGTGTGTACACTAGTGTATGTGTGTGTACACTAGTGTGTGTGTGTAAACGAGTGTGTGTGTGTACACTAGTGTGTGTACACTAGTGTGTGTGTGTGTGTACACTAGTGTGTGTGTGTAAACGAGTGTGTGTGTACACTAGTGTGTGTACACTAGTGTGTGTGTGTGTGTACACTAGTGTGTGTGTGTAAACGAGTGCGTGTGTGTGTGAACGAGTGTGTGTGTGTACACTAGTGTGTGTGTACACTAGTGTGTGTGTACACTAGTGTATGTGTGTGTACACTAGTGTGTGTGTGTAAACGTGTGTGTGTGTGTACACTAGTGTATGTGTGTGTGTACACTAGTGTGTGTGTGTAAACGTGTGTGTGTGTGTACACTAGTGTGTGTACACTAGTGTGTGTGTGTGTGTGTACACTAGTGTGTGTGTGTAAACGAGTGTGTGTGTACACTAGTGTGTGTACACTAGTGTGTGTGTGTACACTAGTGTGTGTGTGTAAACGAGTGTGTGTGTGTGTACACTAGTGTGTGTACACTAGTGTGTGTGTGTGTGTACACTAGTGTGTGTACACTAGTGTGTGTGTGTGTGTGTACACTAGTGTGTGTGTGTACACTAGTGTGTGTGTATAAACGAGTGTGTGTATAAACGAGTGTGTGTACATTAGTGTATGTGTGTGTACACTAGTGTATGTGTGTGTACACTAGTGTGTGTGTGTACACTAGTGTGTGTGTACACTAGTGTGTGTGTGTAAACGAGTGTGTGTGTGTAAACGAGTGTGTGTGTGTACACTAGTGTGTGTGTACATTAGTGTATGTGTGTGTACACTAGTGTATGTGTGTGTACACTAGTGTGTGTGTGTACACTAGTGTGTGTGTGTACACTAGTGTGTGTGTGTGCTCTCTCACCTGTGTCTCTCTGCCAGGCTCGGCGTCTCCGCTCCTCACGATCCCAGCGGCTCCAGGCGGGGGGTCCCCACCTCGCTCCTCCTCCTCACTCTTCCTCACCGGCCCTCTACTCCAGCCCTCACCACTCCGCTCCTCCCGCTCCTCCACCACCACCGACCACCCCACTCCGCTCTCCGGGTAGGCCGAGCTGGGCGGAGGGTAGCGTGACACTGACACACACTGACACACGCACTGACACACACACTGACACGCACGCACAGCGGCTCCGCTCCCTCTAGCTCTCGCTCTCCCTACCGCTGCCCCCACAGCTCCGAGCCTCTTCTCTGCTCTCCGGCACGGCGCCTCCCGTCTGCGCTCAGGGCCGAAGGGGCGGGGCTGTGGGGGCGGTCAAGGGGCTGGGGGAGTGGGTCGGGGGCTGGGGGAGGAAGGGGGGGGGGCTGAGGGAGGGGGTGCTGCGGGGGAGGAGTCGGAGGAGACCGCGGACCCTGGCGCAGGGCGCGAGGGGAGCTCCTCCTGCAGCGATGGGGGAGGGAGGCGGCGGAGTGGTGGGGGGTGGGGGAAGGCGGGGTGTGGGTAGGTGGGGTGGGGGTAGGCGGGGTGGGGGGGGCTTCCCCCTCCCCGCGTGAACCTGGTCCACAAGTTGACGCGCGCCCCTTGCGGGCACTGTGAGCGCGTGCACGTGCGCGCTCACAGTGTCCACGTGCGTGTGTGTGTGTACACGTGTGTGTGTGTGTGTACACGTGTGTGTGTGTGTACACGTGTGTGTGTGTGTACACGTGTGTGTGTGTGTACACGTGTGTGTGTGTCTGGACCACTGGACGGGTTCCGCAGGATTGGAAGGATGCCCTGGTGGTCCCCCTCTTTAAGAAGGGGGACCGCACAGACTGTAAGAACTACAGGGGCATCTCACTCAGTGTGCCGGGAAAGGTCCTGGCAAGGAATATTCAACATCGCCTTGCTAGGCACGCTGAGGAGAGGCTTGCGGAGCCCCAATTCGGTTTCAGGAAAGGGCGGTCCTGCACAGATGCCATATTTTCTATCCGTCTGCTACAGCAGAGGTGTAGGGAATTCCAACAAGACCTACATCTCTGCTTTATTGACCTGGTCAAGGGCTACGATACCATCAGTAGGCCAGGGTTCTTGGTTGTGCTTCATGCTCTCCGGGTCCCCTACTCTCTGTTCCCACTCATCAAGGGCATTATTGATGGTGGGCAGGCCCCGGATAAAGCTGCGTGGCCAGAGTCAGAGCCATTCCCTGTTCACGTTGGGATACGACAAGGATGTGCTCTGCTCCCACATTATTTAACATCATCTTCGACCACATAGTTCGAGAAGCCTCCAATGGCTGTACCGGAGGAATCTCCATCTGGTACATATACAATGGGAGGCTGATCGATGCCAGGATGTGTTCAAGAGATGGCTCCCAACTGATTAATCAAAAAAATAGGTTTTCCCTTTTTTATGGCAACAAAACAGGGGTTAAGATGTTAAAACACCAAACTGCAACCTTTTGCAAGGAATCATGTCTGCATTAACCACAGATACTTGTGGTGAAAATAAATTTAAAAAAAACATGCTCTGACAGTAAATGCATTGTCTTTGAAACTGATTGGTCCACAACAGAGATAGCTTTCTTTAGAGCCTAGTCTCAAACAGTGTTAGACCAGAGGACGCCAAAAGGCGAACAGCACAGAGACAATGCCACTGTCAGGACATTGAGAGCTCGGGGTGAGCAGCTACATCATGGGACCTCCTTTGCCAGTGTCAAAATATAAGAATACGTTTTCCCCTTTTTTGTTATTATGTACACTGATAATCTGGTGGTTGCTGCTCACTGAGGAGTTCGAGGTTTTGCTGCTGAACCTGGAGCGGGCGACTAGGAGGTAGGGTCTCACCATCAGCCACCAAAACTAAGCACCTGCCTGGATATTTTGTATCATCCAATACTCTACTCCCTCAAATCCCCATGAGTGATGAGGTAGTTGTCGCGATAGATATGTTTCTGTACCAGGGTAGTGTGCTTATGACCAGCTCCGGTTTGGCAGCAGAGGTCTCATTCCGAATCAGCCAAGCAGCAATATATTTTCGTCAGCTGCGTAACGCTGTATGGAAACTACCTGGTCTGTCGTTCCACACAAAGCTCTGAGATCTTCTCGGCCACAGTGATGCCCTCCCTTATCTTTGCTTGGGAAACGTGGACCCCCCCCTAATGGAGCATCTTCGCCAGTTGGAAACATTTAGGCTGGCCTGCCTACGATCCATCCTGGGTTTAACCAGGCTGGATTGTGTGAGGAGCTCACAAATCCTTGAAAGATCTGGGCAAAGTCCCATCGGTGAGCTCCTCCGGCAGGCAAGGCTGCATTGGTTGGGTCATGTAGCCCGCATGCCCAGCCACCGCATGCCGAAACAGCTTTTGTTTGGCCGGATTGAGGGGGCTAAACGGGCGCGGCACGGGCTAGAGAAGAGATGGAGTGATGTGGTACAGGAGGACATGGAGCTGAGTGGACTTTCCGATGACTGGTACCAGCGGTGTCAAGATCGGCCTCTGTGGAGGAGGCTCGTGAAGGACGCTACTGGGCAGTTGGAGGCAGTCGCCCTCCAGCAACAAAGGAGGGCGGAGGAGCGACGCTCACAACGAGCGGAGCGCCGGGTGGCTAAAGCACAGCAAGTTGGCACAGTAGGGGGCACAGGTGGTGCATCAGCCAGTCATCTCGGTCATCTCAGTCAGTCGACCCGTGGCACCTGGGTCTGCGCCGTGACCTCCTGCCAGCGGGCGTTCGACACTTCACGTGGCCTCAAGGTGCACATGGCCTGGCACAAGCGTCGTGGTGACGTCACCGCCACTTAGTGGCGAATGGCGGTTGTTGTTGTGTGTTTAAGGTTGTCTGTGCGTGTGAGTGAAGGTGTATAAACTTCCAGCGGGCCTTCGACGCTTCACGTACCATTAATGTGCACATAGCCAGGCACACGCGAATGGCGGTTGTTATAAACTTCAGTACTGGGAAGACGAAGGCGGCCGGGGGTGGTTCGAGCCACCCACCCTCTTGTGTGCCGTGCTGGCCTTAAACAGGTGCTCTCTATAACAGCACTTTCCCCACAAGTCTGTGAAAGGCTATGTGGGGGATCGTTGTCTTAGTAAGGCTGTGGTGAGCAGTTGTGTAGCACCGGGCGAACCGAGTACGATTCCTGCTCACAACCAATAAGTGGCGAATATCTGAACCGATGCTGGGCCTCATGAGTACAGTACCTGGTATGGTGTGTAAAACATCAGAAAATGGGAAGACAAAGACGGCCGGGCGTGGTCCTGGCCACCCACCCCCTCGTGTGTCGGCCTTCATAGGACCTCACTAACAGCACTTGCCCCAACAAAAGAATATACGGGGGAACGTTGTCTATGTTTTCAAAGGCTGTCTGCAAGTGTGTGGGTGTGTCTCCCTGTCTCTGCGCAGCTGCGCACAGCGGGGTTGGGGAGCGGCGTGGCTGTCTGCGCCCCGAGCTCGCAGGGACACCCCAGCGGATGACGACGGCGGTGCCGGGGAGGGCAGGGGGGAGGGCAGGGGGGACGTCAGTTCACGCTGCCTGCTCCAAGTTCAGGGGCTGCCCCTAACGAGGAAGGGGGTTCCACCCACTACAAAGACAAAAGTTCCCCCGTATAGCCTCAACAGAGTGTTGTGGCAAGTGCTGCGAGCGAGTATCGCCTATGTCTTCTAAGTGGCGATGTTTAAACACCGCACCAGGTACACGATTAAGGCTGAGTCGACCTAGGGGAGGCCCAGGGCCGATTCAGATAATCGTCACTTGTGTTGGTAGTCGTGAGCGGGAATCGAGCTCGAGTCTCTGTGTTCGTAGTGCAGTGTAGCAGTGACCAACCACTGACACCACCGCTCCCCACACTCACAGCCACCGCGGGCTCTCCTCTCCTCCTTCGGGCCGTGCTTCTCCTAGCACCCACCCAGCACCAGCGGGGGGCACGAGGAGACCTGGGGGGGCGAGGGAGTCGGGGCACGAGGAGACCCGAGGGGGAGGGGGGGGCGAGGGAGTCGGGGGCGCGAGGAGACCCGAGGGGGAGGGGGGCGCGGGGGAGTCGGGGGCACGAGGAGACCCGAGGGGGAGGGGGGCGCGGGGGAGTCGGGGGCACGAGGAGACCCGAGGGGGAGGGGGGGCGAGGGAGTCGGGGCACGAGGAGACCCGAGGGGGAGGGGGGGGCGAGGGAGTCGGGGGCACGAGGAGACCCGAGGGGGAGGGGGCGCGGGGGAGTCAGGGGCACGAGGAGACCCGAGGGGGAGGGGGCGCGGGGGAGTCAGGGGCACGAGGAGACCCGAGGGGGAGGGGGGCGCGGGGGAGTCAGGGGCACGAGGAGACCCGAGGGGGAGGGGGGCGCGGGGGAGTCGGGGGCACGAGGAGACCCGAGGGGGAGGGGGGCGCGGGGGAGTCGGGGGCACGAGGAGACCCGAGGGGGAGAGGGGCGCGGGGGAGTCGGGGGCACGAGGAGACCCGAGGGGGAGGGGGGCACGATACCCGAGGGGAGGGGCGCGGGGGAGTCAGGGGCACGAGGAGACCCGAGGGGGAGGGGGCGCGGGGGAGTCAGGGGCACGAGGAGACCCGAGGGGGAGGGGGGCGCGGGGGAGTCAGGGGCACGAGGAGACCCGAGGGGGAGGGGGCGCGGGGGAGTCGGGGGCACGAGGAGACCCGAGGGGGAGGGGGGCGCGGGGGAGTCGGGGGCACGAGGAGACCCGAGGGGGAGGGGGACGCGGGGGAGTCGGGGGCACGAGGAGACCCGAGGGGGAGGGGGGCGCGGGGGAGTCGGGGGCACGAGGAGACCCGGGGGGGAGGGGGGCGCGATACCCGAGGGGAGGGGCGCGGGGGAGTCGGGGGGCACGAGGAGACCCGAGGGGGAGGGGGGCGCGGGGGAGTCGGGGGCACGAGGAGACCCGGGGGGGAGGGGGGCGCGGGGGAGTCGGGGGCACGAGGAGACCCGAGGGGGAGGGGGCGCGGGGGAGTCGGGGGCACGAGGAGACCCGAGGGGGAGGGGGCGCGGGGGAGTCAGGGGCACGAGGAGACCCGAGGGGGAGGGGGCGCGGGGGAGTCGGGGGCACGAGGAGACCCGGGGGGGGAGGGGGGCACGATACCCGAGGGGAGGGGCGCGGGGGAGTCGGGGGGCACGAGGAGACCCGGGGGGGAGGGGGGCGCGGGGGAGTCGGGGGCACGAGGAGACCCGAGGGGGAGGGGGGCGCGGGGGAGTCGGGGGGCACGAGGAGACCCGGGGGGGAGGGGGGCGCGGGGGAGTCGGGGGGCACGAGGAGACCCGGGGGGGAGGGGGGCGCGGGGGAGTCAGGGGCA